CCTGAACACACAGATATCTATGGGATTAAAGGCGTGTGCCACCACCGCCACACTCTTGCTATGGCTCTAATAGCTCTGACCCCCAGACAACTTTATTTATTAACATATAATCACATTAATATTTCAGTACAAATCAAAATAATATTTCAATACAATTAGATTATCACCACAGGAAACAGTTTCCTGGACACCTACAAGGAGAAAGTCATGCTTAAGAACAAATAATCAGGAGAGTAGAGAGACTTGCCTCTGGCTGGAATCTGCATTACCAGAGTATAAAGTAAACTGTGATATGACGCAGATGAAAGGGACCCTGGGAGATGACTCCAGGAAAAGTCATCTCCAGGGCCGGCTAAGGTCTCTTTTAGAGGCTCATTGTCTGCAGGTGTTGGAAGAATAAGGGGCAGCTCCCTGGCTCCTTGGGGTCAGTAAAGAAACCGAGATGCCAAGAAGGCTGCCACATCCAGTTCTTTTGTTTTGCTTTTGGAGAGCCAAAGCAGCTAACCCTTAAGACCAGCAAGGTTGCCAGCTTGCTGGTGGCAATGTTTTATTTTCAAGCATAAGCATTCGAGTTTACAAATGAAGGCAGGTGGTTAAAAAAACCGATCCCACCGCTTTAAAATCAGGTGCACAGTCCATTCCGCACCTCAGCTATGGTCAGCCGTCAAAGTCACTTGCAATTCTCAGGTCCCAATTTGCTTTACCCCAGAAACCTTCCTTTCTAATAAAAATCTCTCTCTTGAAGTTACTTTTCCTCACCATGGAGGGATCCTTAAAGCCGTGCCTTAAGGCAATGCTGGTGGCCGTTGAGTTTGAAGTATTTCTGGGTAGCCATGACTTCACACATGGAAGTCAGGAAGAAAGCGTAATAGGTCTTATGTCGATGCTAAGAAAAGTCACAGCAGGTCTTTTGTGAAAGGCGCAGGGTCCTGACAGGATGGAAGGATAGGAAATGCCAAATCTCTGACCGTGTTTCTTTTAAAAAGTAACTGGTTTGCTGCTGTTATTTTGCATCGTTCTGAAGTCATTGTTGGTGTCTTCGATGAGTCAGGGAAGCAATGAGTCATAGTTCTGTAAGCAATGGGGAAACATGATACTCTAGTCATTAGGACAGATATCTATAGGTCATTTTGTTATTTATCATGCCAGCTTTCTGAAGAATCACCTGCCTCCACTCTCTCCTTATTTGTCAAATGAGATTAGATTCAAACACCCAGCCCGGCTTTAAACCTTGTCCTTACTGCCTTCGGGGCCAGCCGATGGTTCCCAGCCCAGGGCGCCTCCTGGCCCAGGTTTCTTCCTATCACTCAGCTCATCTCATGTACTGTCTCCCCACCTAGTCTTCAGGCAGGCACTCACACAGGATCACAGAGGAATAGGTCTCCAAATTAGCCAACTGGAATCAGGCCCAGGATGCTGCAACTGTTCCCATCACATACACCATTTCTCATCATTCCACAGACGACACAGGGCAAAGACAGCAACTTACACGGTATGTCGTCATCAGATTAGGTATTAATCATGAGGAATCTAGAGCTGAGTCTATCTAAAGGCAGGTGTGTGGAGGTTACATGCAAAGATTATGCATTTTACACAGGGGCTTGAGCATCCACCGTTTCAGACTGGCAGAGGGGCAGGAGAAAGATACCTGTCCTCAGAGACACCAGTGATAGCCATGCCTGTTGGAGACAGGTTGAAAACCAGCAACAGTAGGCAGTTATTCCACCTCGACGGCAGCATGTGGGCCTTCCCTCCCAAGTCCGTCTGGATCTCTATCCATGTCCTAAGAAACTTGAATACTTTCCTGGGAAAAAAAAAAGAAAAATCAAAGAGATGGCTCAGTGGTTAAGAGCACTGGCTGCTCTTCCAGAGGACCCAAGTTCAAGTCCCAGCACCCACGTGGCAGCTCACACCTGTCTGTAACTCCAGTTCCAGGCCTTCTGACACCCTCACGAAAACATACATGCCGGTATGACCCCAATGAACATAAAAATAAATTTAAAAAAATCAAAAATTTACAGTCCCCTTAAGAACATATCCCAGGAAAGATTTCAGTCTTCAAGTCTTCTAGGCATCATCAGTTAAAATCCTCGCTGGCAGGGACAGCTGGGGTTCTGAAGACTGTCCGGCTAGATCCTGTCCAGTCCTACACACTCTGCCTCCTGCTCCCCTGCGCACGCTCCTTGCCGACCCGGATGTAGCAGGATTTGAATGCACTCCAGTTGAACCCATGCTCTTAAGGACCTGTCACTGATGGAGTCTTACCTTGCAAGGTCTTGGGCCAGCAGCGCTCATCGTCACCTAGATCACATGCTATTCAGAGTCAGCGCCCTTCACATGCCAAGCGCACCTCACCTTCCTCCTGAGGGTCACGGCCTCTCGTGAGAGGTGGCAGCTGTGAGTGGCTCTCATCAACACCGCTCAGAGAGAGAGCTTCAAGGTTGAAAAGGAAAAACACTTTCTCCAGCACGAACCGGCAGGGTCCGTCCTAGCTGGCGAGAGTTAGAAGTCTGAGGGGCAGCTAGATTTCTACCTCTGGCTAGTGACGCGTCACACAGTGGGGTTCTTTCCTGAGATTTCTACATGGGGATGAGAGCGTACGTGAATACCGTGAATATAATAATTCTTCAACACAATCATCATTCTCTCCCCGTAAAAACTCAGTGATTTTAAGTGTTAAATACATTCAACATGTATTTGCTTTATACCAAGCACTGTTCTAAGTGCCTCCCCGTGAAGTATGGGGTTTAAGACACCAACAGCTGTGTGGTCCAGATCAGCGTGAAGTCCCTGCGAGTCAAGCTGCCTCCTTCACTTCTCTTGAGGGAAGTGACAAGTCGAAGGTCACCTAGAAGGGCTGCAGCCAGGACTCCAATTGTCTGGGCTGTTTCTGGAGGCTATACTCACACCGGCGCTGCTGGAATGTGATTCTACCTTAGTGGCGAAGGCCTAAGGCCAGGGTCAGCGAGCCCAGCACTTCCGGTTCGGCCTGTCCCCCACATGCAGCGACGCGGACTTCTGCCATAGCAAGCCACGGCACTGGGGCATAGATTTCAGTGATTTCTTCTAGTCTACACAGATGATCTGAATCCCTCTGATGGCATGAGGCCATCACTGTCCACCAACTGCCTCTCCGGGTATGTTAATTATTTGCCCTTTCCCTAGTTAGTTATACTATCCCACTGACCCATGCTGTGTGAGGCTCTGGGACCTCCAGACTCCCCGCCCCCCCCCCCAGCTCCTCTCTCCCTCCTCTGGCTCATCCCCGAGGACCTCCCTTCGCCCTGGGAGTACTCCCCGGACACAAACATTCTCTCCAACTGACTACAGCACACAGAACTGTAAGGCAAGACAACCATAGCCATGTTTTTGAACTCGTAGATACCAGATGCACTGGGCAAGCCCTTGGGTTGTTTGCTGGGTACAGATCTTGAGCCACTGACATCTAGCAGGAGAGAGATAACTTTCTTTTCTAAATCCTGAGCCGTTTGCTTTGGGAGATCTCATCTAGGCGGGAGACAGAAACTTATCAGCAGCCGACTCCACGGCTGGTCTAACCCCGAGCAACTCTGTTAAAAGGAGCCTGGACAAAGTCTAGATGTCTCTGTCTCTCTCTCCCTCTCCCTCCCCACCCCTGTGTGTGTGTGTGTGTGTGTGTGTGTGTGTGTGTGTGTGTGTGTGTCAGGGAGATTGGGAGGGCACACCTCTGGTCTCTGGGTTGCCCTCTCCCCACACCCATGCTCCCAGCTGGGATAGTGGTGTCCGACACCTCCTCATACTGACCAGGACTCTGCCCATTTGGCCTTTGCAGAAACCTTGTGCCTTTCTAAGTCACTGGGCATAGGTTAGTGGAAAAGGCGAGCTCTCTCCAGCCCAGGTACCCCAGGCACACACCTTCCTGACTTCCGCTCATGTTCACCAGCCTCCAGCCGAGACTCTCCCAGTGTCCCTCTGTTCTCTGAGGGACTGGGAACTCTCCCAGTGTCCCGCTGTACCCTGAGGATCTCCTTGCCTTTCTGCTTTAGTTCTAAAAAGCTGTAATGTCTGTCGTGGGAGAAACAAGTGCTTCTGACCATAGCAGTGGTCCTCAACCTTCCTAATGCTGCGACCCTTTAATACTGTTGCTACTTCATAACGGTAATTTTGCTACTGTTATGAGTTGTAATGTAAATATCTAATATGCAGAATATCTGATGTGCAACCCCTGTGAAAGGGTCATTCGACACCCCCCCCCCCCCCCCCCCCCCCCGCAAAGGGGTCAAGACCCACAGATTGAGAGCTGCTGGACTAGAGGCTTCTTCTAAAGCTTCCATGGGTTGTGATGATTCATCCCTGCCTTGCCAGAGAATGGCACCAGCTGGGAGGAAGGTGGGACTACCAGGAATTTAATAAAGAGAATCCGAACAACGTAGCTCTCTTCCCCTAAACACACACACTCAATGATTACCCAGTATGACCTTCCTCATAACCTGTGGGAGGTATAGTTACTCCCAGTTTACACGGGAAAAGCTGAGCTTTGGCGAGATGAGTTTATCGGGCTCTCTGCTGGCAAGCTCTTGAAGCTGCTGACGGTGCTCCATGCTCTAACCAACCGCTCCATCTGCTTTATCTCGGGAGACTGAGGTCTAGCCTCGATCCCTTCCTTCCACACGGTTGCAGCTGTGGGGGCCAGCCTGGCCTCACTTTGAAAGCCTCAGCCTCTGAGTGCCGGGATTCTGGACCTGTACCACCACCCACAGCTGTGAAGAACTGTCCTTAGAGACCAGAGTCTGCCTCTGCACCGGGAGCTTCCCGAAGTGCCAGCGAGGCCGCCAGCAGGGACTTTGTAGGTGGACACTGAATGGAGGTAGTCAAGGAGAAAGAATGAGGACGGAGATGACAATTCCTCATCTCAAGCTTTTCCAAAACTTCCCAAATTCTATCCTGCCCACTAAAATAAAAGTAGAAACGAAATTTGAGTATATAATTCATGTCTAAAACTCGACTGTCCTTAGATTGTCAGATTATTTTAGGCACTGAAGTTAGTCTCTTCCTTTTTTTTTTTTTTTTTTTTTTGGTTTTTCGAGACAGGGTTTCTCTGCGTAGCTTTGTGCCTTTCCTGGAACTCACTCTGTAGCCCAGGCTGGCCTCGAACTCACAGAGATCCACCTGGCTCTGCCTCCCGAGTGCTGGGATTAAAGGCGTGCGCCACCACCGCCCGGCAGTCTCTTCCTTTTTAAAAAAAATTTATTTATGTGCATTGGTGCTTTGCCATGAGTGTTCAGTCCCCTGGAACTGGAGTTATAGACAGTTGTGACCTGCCATGTGGGGAGTGGGAAGTGAATCCGGGTCCACTGGAAGAGCAGCCAGGGAGCCATCTCTCCAGCCCCTGAGGTTAGTTTCTCGGGTCTAGAAGTGTGCAATGTGCTGGTGACACAGAAATGCCAGGTAAGCCCCAGTGTACCTTTGTCAGCCACCGTCATTCTCCTGGGATTTTGTTTGCTCTCTAAACATTGTCATCCAAAACGATGGTGCAATGGACATAAAACCCCAAAGTGCCAGGCGGTGGTGGTGCACACCTTTAATCCCAAGACTCAGGAGGCAGAGGCAGGCAGATCTCTGTGAGCTCTAGGCCAGCCTGGTCTACAGAGTAAGCTCCAGGACAGCCAGGGCTACACAGAGAAACCCTGTCTTGAAAAACCAAAAAATAAAAAAATTTAAAAAACCCAAACTTTAAGAATTTCACATGCTCCCCCCCCTCCAGATAATAAATATATACTCAGGCTCTGTATATCAGTGAAGTTTTGGAGGTCTTAAGCTGTGATCGATCTGTCTGTCTGTCTGTCTGTCTCTCTGTTTATGCCACTTTTTCAATTTTTGAGGTAGAATTTCATGTACCCTAGGCTGTCATCAAACTTGTAATACAGCAGGAGACAACCGTGAATTTCTGATCCATGTCCTCCACCTCCTGAGTGCTGGGGTGGAGGACACATTTGAACGGCACCCCCAGCCCTCAGCCTCTTTGTTTTACAGTGTTATGCTTACTTCTTCATTTACATTTTTGGATGAATATTCAGGTTGCCTTCAGTTTCTAAGATAAAGTTCAAATCTTCCAACCAAGACATCCCAGAAAGAATACTGTCTCTTCTTGTCTCTTTAAAACCAGGTGACTGTAACTTATTAACAGCCTTCATAATGTTGGCAGTGACCTGTCTCTCCTATGAGAAGAACCATCCTTACCTGACACTGCCCCTTCAGGTGACACTGTCCCTGCCCCCCATGTCACTGTCCTTTCCTCGGCCTCGGTTTAAAGCAGGACGGGTTTTCCACAGGGTCCCTACCCTGCTGCAGCTGACCATGTAGGGGACCACTGCAGCCCTTGCCCAGCTCTTTTCTTAGTTAGGGTTCTGACCTCTATAAGAGCCTGCCTGGCTGTCTGGGTAACAGCCAGGTCACATAAAGGCCTTTATGTAGGCCCTTGTTCCTGGGGCTCCGAAGAACAGAACACCTGGAGGTCCTTTGTAAACAGGATTTAGCCGGCTGGCGTTGAAGATGCCTTAAATAAGAGAATTAAGGAAGGAGTGAGCCTTATTTAAGGGAAAGGGCCGGGCTAGCTGAACTAGGAGGAGGGTGAATGGACAAAGAGACTTGGAAGCTGTAAAGATGATTAAATTTCCCCCTTTCCCTTACCTATAAAACAAGTCATTTTTAGATCTGCTTTAAGCGTCCATTTTACACACACACACACACACACACACACACACACACACACACACACACTGGACTAGTTGTTTAGTTTTCACATTTTCCTGTCTCTCAAAACATTAAAAAACATTTACTAGAGTGACTTTAGTACCGAAAGTTCTATAATGCTCCCATGAAACCCAAGCATCATTTCAGAAAGCAGCCCGTCTTTCATCCTCCTAAGATTTTTTCTGTGAAGCAGTAAATCCGTATTTTGAATCTTCCTTCTTGGTTTTATGGTGTTGCTATGAACTCTTACATAGTCCCTAGAATAGTCAACAGATATGGATATTGTTTCCCTAAAGTGTCCCTATTCAAAAGAGCGTGCAGAGGAATCAAGGAACTTATTGTACAGCTGTGGTGAGTGAAGGGTTCTATTTTATGTGTGCAAAAAGCATGCTTAAATGTATTTCTCACATAATAACCCTTATTTGGAAAATAAGGTCACATTATGTTCCTAAGAACCAATGACAACCTTCTTGTAAGTAAAATTTGGTTTAATATTTTTAAGGCACAACACATATTATAAAAGCACACATTGGGGCTTGGGGATGGGGAGTTACCCAGCTCCTCTGGTCTTTTTGATCTACACCAATATCAAAGAAGGGAGAGTGCAAAAGGCACGTGTCTGCTTTAATTTTACATTACAGTGCACATGAATATTATTTCTATTAATACATTAAACACAAAGAATCATTGCTTTAAAAAGACAGTGCACATAGAGCAGTTTTCAGACCAGCCTGTCTTGTTTTTTCCTGTTATTTCCCTGCAGCTAGAGTTTTCCAGGCCTTGCCCAGAGTCAGGACAAATCTCTCTCACCCGCCAGTCCCACAGCCGCTCAGACCCAACCAAGTAAACACAGAGACTTACATTGCTTACAAACTCTATGGCTGTGGCAGGCTTCTTGCTAACTGTTCTTACATCTTAAATTAATCCATTTCCATAAATCTATACCTTACCACGAGGCTCGTGGCTTACCGGCATCTTCACATGCTGCTTGTCCTGGCGGCGGCTGGCAGTGACTCCTTCTGCCTTCCTGTTCTTTCTTTTCTCCTCTCTGTTAGTCCCGCCTAAACTTCTTGCCTAGCCACTGGCCAATCAGTGTTTTATTTATTGACCAATCAGAGCAACACATTTGCCATACAGAACATCCCACAGCATTTCCCAATAAAATATTGTAACTTTCTGAGGTTGTATTTCTTCATTAATATTCTTTTTCAATAAAAGGCTTCTGATTCTAATGTGAAACATGCTTTCTAAAGGCAGTTTTAATACAGGCACTAAAGCTCAGTGTGGCTTCACAGGGACCGTCTTTAACAAGTGACTGGGAATTCACACATGTACACACTGGGCACGAGCTGATTTCTACCCCATTGCTCGCCTTGCTCTGAGGGCAGGGGCAAACCATTGTAGAAGTCAGGTTCAGTAAGAAAGTCAGATCAGAGAACTTACCCTCAGTGTATGCAGACAGACACCAACATCCTTCTGTACTGTGGCCGGGATTTCATCATTTCATGTCTCATCTTGGGTCCCCCGAGACAGGCTGCTTTCCTTCCATCTCTAAAAATACCCCATGTGTCTAAATGGCAGACATAAGACACAGTATTGTTCTAGGACCCATGTTATAATAGAAGGCGAGGGACCTCTGGTCATAGCAATAAATTACAGTGTACCATACATGCTGTATTGGGAAGTAAGATTTGGACCCAAAGTGTGTTTTGAACTGTGGATTTATTCATTTATTTATTTATTTATTTATTTGGGTTTTTCAAGACAGGGTTTCTCTGTGTAGTTTTGGTACCTGTCCTTGATCTCACTCTGTAGACCAGGCTGGCCTCAAACTCACAGAGATCAGCCTGGCTCTGCCTCCCAGGTGCTGGGTTTAAAGACAGCACATGCCTTTAATCTCAGCATGGGGGAGGCAGAGGCAGGTGGATCTCTTGAGGATCTCTTGAGATGGAGGCCAGCCTGGTCTACAGAGTGAGTTCCAGGCCAGACAGGACTACACAGAGAAACCCTGTCTCAAAACAAAAAACAAAAACAAACCAAACCAAACCAATAAGAAAACAACCACAACAAAAGGAGAGTTCCCCTGACCCTGAGGACTTAAGAGTTGATAAGATAGTCAGGTCAGTGGCTGGCTGAGTTCTCTACCTGACCATTTCCCCAACTCTATAAACTCTAAGGACTACTTCTTCTTCAACCTTAAATTCTTAAATTTCTGGAGACCCCTTTCTATTTTTTTAAACCTTTATTTTTTATAATTTATTTAACTTTATTATATGTGCATTGGTGTGAAGGCGTCTGATCCCCGGAACTGGAGTTACAGATAGTTGTGAGCTGCCATGTGGGTGCTGGGAACTGAACCCGGGTCCTTTGGAAGAACAGCCAGTGCTCTCCAGCGCTGAGCTGTCTTCTCCAGCCCCGGAGGCCCCGTTCCAGCACTGGATTCCCGTAGGTCTTCCAGTAGGTCGTTAGAACACGAAAGCAGCAACACCAGCTGCCTGCCTCTGGTGCCTAGCAACAGTGTGGACACCCTGTGACCATGTGGTAATAACTACTTGTGATAGATAGCACATGTAAAAGAAAATACTGTTTTAACAGAGATAGTACCTTTGGAGTTGGGCACAGGCTGTCCATGGCTTCAGAAGAGCTCTGTGGCTGCTAATGCTCCTGCAGCCCAGAAGGGTACAACAAACAGTTCAGTGTCGGCAAATGGTACCAGCTGGGCAGTAACCGAGGCTGCCAGCTGCCTTCTGCCCAGTTAGGTATCTTTTTTTCTGTGTCTGTGTGCATACATATTGCTATAGATCTGGAACCTGGAAATTTAACAATAGGGACTGTGCCTGAGCGAGAATAAAGCCAATTTGCAAACTGTACTGTTCCGATAATCTCTGGAGGAGACATGTGAAAGCAATTAAAAGTACTCTCTGAGGGGGGCGGGGATCTTAGCTTCCATTGAAAGAGGCTGGGAGAGCCTTTGAAGAAAGATGAAACTGAAAATACCACCAGGCTTTCCTTACGATGAACTGAGCAACCATGCCACAGGTACAGAACCAATGGAAACGTATATAACGTTTAAAAGCGTATAAAAATATACGTATATAACGTTTAAAACGTATATAATGTTAAAAATGTGAAAAGCTGAACATAACTCTCAGCTTAACGCACAGCTGAAATAACCTTCCCTCGGTCTGGGATGGTGCTCAAGGAAAAGGGGCTTGGGCGGGAGTGGGGGGCAGCAGCTGGACCCCATCACCGACAACCTGAATTTGAAAAGAGGACCCACCGAGAAAAAAAAGGGGTGGTGGTGGTGGTGGTGGTGGTGGTGGTTATTTTCCTTGTAATGTGAGCTTTTTAAAAAGCTGTGAACTTTTTACCTTGCCTCATCATGCTTCATTTGGTCAATTACTAACAGGATGGCCCCTGGACAGCGAGCGCGGGCTCCTGGAGGTTGCTACTTGTGTGTGGCGTGTGCAAAGACACCGCCGAGTGCGAACTGACAGGGAGAGAGGGTGCGCGCGTGGGTCCCCCCCTCTCTTTACCACCACGGGGACGTGCGCTCCGGGTCTTCCAGGCTCCGGGGCGCCCTCGGTGCCATTGACATGCAAATCCACCGCTGAGCGCGGGCCAATCGCCGACACTTCCTGGGGGATTACCTGGTGGCGGCTGGCCGCGCG